TGCATCAATAAATTGTCTTCGAATGAATTAAAAAAAAAAAAAAAAAAGATAAATGAGTATTGCAAATTCTATTGCAAGCTGATCGTTTTCATTCAAGAATAGAAAAAAATTTCATTCGAACAAAATCTATGCGAAAAAAAAAAAATAATGGTTCAGAAATAAGATATCAATTTGTGACATTCATTTCTTTATGCGATCGTTTCTTAGTAGCTTATAGAAGAAAGAGAGAGCAGCTGACGACTCCATTGCGAACACCTTTGCAAAGAGTACGCATGTTAAACCAGTTCTCTCCTTCAAGGATAGGCTCCTCCCAGATCTTTTATGAACAATCTTGTTCCTCCATTGGCTAGGAAACGTACGATCGATGGTTGTCGTCGCGCAAACGTTTAATCTCTTTTTTTTGCGATTTCGCAAAAGCGAACAAGTAATGTATATATATAAATATATATATACGTATATATATGGAAAAAAATTAGAAAGGAACGTTGCGTGAAAAACACAATGAATGGATAATGATAAGATAAAAATTGTTTAGATCGGAGACGCAACACCGGTCGAATACTGCAAGTCAAGCAAACGCATGAACACGCGAAAATACATCTTCCGTTTGAACTGGATGAACCGCATCATTTCTATCGGTCTCGTAATCGGTTGGTCACGTCGAGTGTTGAGGAGGCGGAAGCGCAATTTCATATCCGGTTGGCATACTCTGTTGATGATGTTGATAATGATGAGCAGTGGACATCATCTGATGATGCGTCTGTTGATAATACTGATGATGCATGCTCGAATGAGTAGAATAATAGACGGAAGTCTGATCCGTGTCTTTACCTGGAAAGAAATAAGATTGGATTAAAACGAAGGCGATCAACAGGAAGAAATAAATAGAGAATGGGATAAATAAAATGACTTACCGGTTTCGCAAACCCCGCGGCCGTAGCATAAGGCTTTAACGTCATTCATAGGGCTGAGACTGCCGCTGTGGGGATGCGTGGTGTGCACGGAGGATGGGGCCACGGGTGTCGCGTATCTTGGATGACGAGAAGCCATCGGGCTCATACCCATCGGGCTACACGGATTCACGGCGACCGGTGACATGCTCATCGTCGAGAGCGGTGACATTGCGAGATTCGTGCCGTTGGAATCGATGCTCTGCAATGATTGAATGCTCTCTCCGTTGGTAACCGAGCCGGTGATCACGTTGCTCGCATTATTCTGGCAGTTTAACGGTAGCATGTCTCTGAAACGAGGAAGATGAAGTAAAGGAGCGATCGAGAGTGTTCGCGAGTGTTACAGAATTATTACATTAGAAGGAAATTATTAGTTTTCTATTTGGAAGATGTGCGAGGCACACGCGTGGCATTGCTCGTCGATACGTATGGGAGAAAGACGCCGCCAAGAGAGAAATTGACCGTACACCGCCATAAATCTCTGTCAATCTCGTAAAGAGAGTCTCGACAGGGATGAAAAATCGAAGGAAAGGTTCAAAGAGAGAGGTTGGAGGGAAGCACATGCGAGGTCCTTCATTGTCTTACCCGAAATCCGAAAAAACCTGTGACCCTTGGCCCGGGAAGGATCGGGCGATTGAGGGTTCACAGGCATAGACGCGCGTGCACGCGGCTCATTCGTTCCAAGAATTTTTTCAACACGCTCGAAAAAGGTGGAGGACAGAGAGAGAGAGAGAGAGAATAAGAAAAGGAGAAAAGGTAGCTCGTTCGCGACGCATTGTTCCATAGCCATTTGCACGCGCGAACTGTTTCCTCCGACCTCCGACTTCTCTACCCTGATCTTTCCCTATACATATACGTGTTCGCGTTAGCATTAGTATTAACGTTAATGTTCACAACACGCACGTGCACGCACGGTGGTCCGTATGCAAGCAGCTCCGCCCCCGACTACGCTTCGTTTCTGCCACTTCGTTTCTATACCTCTCCGTTGACGACCGCGCGGATTTTTATGGTCGCGCTCCAAGGTCTAAACTC